TTTGAGATGGGGCTTCTCCTTTCTTCAGGGTATTGTTCTTTCACATGCACATGCCATAAAGCCCAGGAACCCTCATCTTCCTTAACTTCAGTCCCAAGAACCTGTCCTTTGGGAAACTGGGCCTATGGACACACCTAGAGGCCATGCACTTAGGTCTGCCAAAGTCTGCTTCAGACCTCCATTCCAGCACATGGCACAGTATAGATGAACCCATCTACCACACAACACCTCACCTGTACAGCCCAATCACCACTACCCAGTTTACCCAGTTCTACACCCCCCACCACACACACACACACACAACTGGAAGCCACTGTATTTCTCCATTTTACAACAGCAGCATCCTACCCTTTGACCCTCATCACCCAGCTCACTCAGGCTTCCCTGTCCCTTTTCTCACATGCCTTTCAGCCCCTGGTCTTACCAACCCTGACCCTTTATCTGGCTGCTCCTTTTACATCTCTGGAGCTCCCTTATTCTCCCTCCGTGCATTTGGGGAGCTTGTGTATTGTCAGCACAAACTGTTTTCTGGCCCTCAAGAAAGAAGGGCTGTTTGTTGGGGGTGGAGAGCAAAGCCCAGGTGCCGCTGGGTTCCGGAGGTTGGGAACGCGCAGGGCGGGGCTAGTGGACTTTCCTGGACCCAGCGGCTCAGAAGGGTGGGGAGGAGGGGGACCCCGCGGTGACGGGCAGGGGCGGAGGGGAGGCGTGCGGGCCCCAGCCCGTCCCTTTCAGGGGGGACTCATGCATCAAACTTCAATTTTCCGGACGATTGAATTAGTGATTTTTTTTCTCCTGAACTAAAATACACTTAAGTCTTTGGGATTAATTACCACGTTCTGGTCCCTCAGACTGGAGTATTACTTATCGGAGCTGCGTCTGACACCGGCCCGACACCTCGTAAAATAAGGAACTGCGCCTCCCGGCCTCACCCTGCGCCGCCCGCTAGGCCGCCGAGCCGGGAAGCCGGAGCAGGGAAAGCAGAACTAGCCAGAACGCGCCCTGCGGCTCGGCCGGTCCGCGCGCGGACAGGAGAGCAGAAACTAACCGCATCCCGATACTTGGCAAGCCGCGCTGAGGCCCGGGTCCCAGTGGGGAAGGGAGAGACAAAGCCTAGCCTTCTCCCCTGGCAGCCAGGAACCGAAAGTGGGTCCGCAGAGAGGCCAGATTTCTGAGGGAACAGGTCGGTAATGACCTCAGGCGATGACGGAACTCGGCAAAGGGCCGAGCCTTAACGAAATTGGCCCAGAGAGTGGCCGTGGGCCTCACAGTCCCTCACACGATCCACGGCACAGTCAGACACGCAGAAGAAACAGATAGGCAATATATACGCCCCGATCCCACGGAGCCCACTCCTGTGTGCACACACCACACACAGCCGAACCACGACAGGCCCAGCAGGCACCTTCCAAGAGGCTCAGGTTTGACACCTGGGGTTCCAAACCTTCTCTCATCATAGGTCCAGTCAAGGCCATCTGAAAGCCCCTGGACCGCGCGAAGGGGTGTCAGCCTTCATCAGAACTGGGAGAGCTAAGGAGCCGGTGGGCTAGAGTTCAGGCCTCCCTGGATTCCAGTCCCTTGTCTGGTCCCAAGTCCCTCAGCCTTTAACCACGATCGCCGACTTCCCCACTGCCTTCTGCACTATGGGGCCTTAAGATGAGCCCCAAACTGCGTGCTCCGCCTGGCCTTAACAACCGTGTGCATGGTCGGTGGAGCTCCAGGAGCCCACCAGCAACCCGGGGGAGGCATCGAATTCTGTAGAGCCAACGTGATTGAGGAGTGGCTTAGCTCCACTTTCCAAATTTTGCGGGACACAGCGTGAGGCTCTCTCTCCTCAGTCCTCCTCTGCTCGGGTTTAGCCTAAGGCTCTCAGGAACACCCCTCTCCTCCTTCCCTTAGGCGACTGTCCAGTCCTTACTTTGGCTTGCCATCCTTTCTAGCCTATAGAAACAACGAATTATTTATGTCTTTCAAAGCCTGGGTCCCATGCCACCTCCTCCTCCGTGGAAGCCACCATCACTACCGTGGAGCCCGAATTCATCTCTCTGCATTTTGCAAGAGGCACTTCCTGCCCCACGGCCAGGGTCTGCTATTAGGGTCTGAGTTGCTTACGGGCTTGCCCATTAGAGTGGGAGCTCCTTGAAGGCAGGAACGGAATCTGATTCATTTCAATTCCCTAGCCACCTGCACACAATAAACATTTGCTGAATTGAATTGATTTTTCTCTTTACTTTATTAATCCTTCTCCTTTCTTCTTTCCCTCTTTCTTTTCCTCCTTCCTTCCTCCCTCGTTATTTTTTATTTCTTGGTTATATTCAATTGTCATGTTTTTCAGGCTCATTAAATCCATTTAGAGACAAAAGAATAAAAGGCAGAAGGGGAAGGGAGGGGGAGGAGGGGAGGGGGAGGGGAAGGGAGGGGGAGGCCGGAGAAGCAAACAAATAACCCGCTTTAACTAGACGGGCGGATAAATGGCCCCGTTTCTCCTCAGCCCCGATGCGCCTGCTTAGCTGCGCGCCCCGCGGGCGCCGCAGCTCGGGTGGGCTCAGCCTCGGGGCCGCCGCCCCCAGACCGAAGGGACCCAGCAGGGCCCAGCCCAGGGCCGCGAAGAAGGGAGCGGCCGGAGGTGCCAGGGCCGCTTCATTGGGATTCATGGGCGTGTTGGGCGGGCGGCCCGGGGCTCCGGGCGCAGGGCGGGGGCTGGGCGAGGGGGGGTGCGCACGGCGGGCGCAGATGCCCGGGTGACCGCCGCGCCGCGGTCCCTGCGCCGCCTTTGTGCCGGGGAGGCGCGCGCGGGGACCTAATCCATCAAATTGTCTACAAATTGTGAAGAAAATTCAAAAACCATATGGTCGCCAGCGCCGGCGCGCTCTGGGCTGCGGAGGGCCGCGGCCGTGCCCGCACCGGGAGCCGCGGGGGGCTGGGCCCGGCTATTGTCGCCTGTCAGCGGCCGCCCGGGCCCATTCGTCCCGGCCTTCATGGTCCGCGCTCCGAATTACAGACCCATCCATCCTGAGAGAGGGCGATTTATGTCGCCCGGGAGGAACCGACCGAACGCCCGCGCGACTGCCCGGCCGCCTCCTTCTCTGGTCCCTCTCCTCTCTTCTCTCCCGTCTACCTACACTATCCTTTTCTCCCTATCTTTGTCTTCGTTTCTCTTTCTAGGTCTGTAAATTTTCTTCTTTTCCACTCTCCTCCCTTTCCTTGGCTGTCCACTTTCTAGCTCTGCTTCTGGAGTGTCTTTCTCTGCTCCTTTCTTTCTTTCTTTTTTTCCTTCTTCTTTTCTTTCTTTCCCCCGTTTCTGGCTGTCTCTTAGTTTTCCTCCTGGACACGCACGTTCCTGACTCAGGCCCGGGGGGCGGGGGCATCGTCTGCCCGAGACCAGATGCGAATTTCTCACATCAATTTTGAGGAGAAAGAGAGCCGAGCGGCCCGGGGCGGGACTCGACTTTAGTGACAGCGGCCACTCGCCAGCCCAGAGACAACAAAAGCCAAGAGAGAAATCCTCTCAATCCGGGAAAGTGAAAGCTAAGTCCCAACCACTGTTAAGTCACCACAAACCTCAAAGAGTCCCTGCAAGATTCATGTCTCTGCTCCCAACCAAGTTCTGGGCCCAGAATTTATGGACGTTACCAGAAATTTACCTTAGCTCCCACTTCGGGCTCACATCCCCCAGAGCCCTTGTGTGCAATTCAGCCCCCCCTTGTTGCTTTCAGCCTCATTCTTTTTTATTCCTGCTCTCCAAGGATGAGCCCTGGGGAGGGAGCAAAAGTTGAGAGCCCCCAGGCTCCACCTTGATGTCATACTGAATGACACCTTCCAGAGCACTTTGGATTTAGCCAGTGTCTCCGGGAGCCCAGGTAGAATATGGAAGGAGGGGGCAAAACAAGTCTCTCTTCTCATCTTTCGCCCAACACAACTAGTTTTGTGCCGTGACGCCTCCCACTTTCACTCGCGTTTTTCCCCAGTATCACTTGTCTTGCTTTTTACCCCGACCTTTCGAAGCCCGCTTCTTCCCTCCCCCCATTTAGTAGTTAATGCGTGTTTATGGACAAGAAGCACCTCCTCCCAATGCTTCCTTCTAACCCCGCGATCTCATGCTTGCCCAGAAACTCCCCCAAATCTCCATGGCTGGGGTGGCCGGAGAGGAGCAACGACTAGAAGTTTAGCCTGCCGTGCTTCCCCGGTCGGGCCCACTCACTCAGACACGCTCACCGCCGGTTCTAGTAAAATGGCAAAGACTTTATTTATGGGAGAAAGAGGCCTTGGGAACAGTCCGCAGAGGAGAGGGCAGGGCAGGAGCAGGGGAGGAGCACGCGCGACCCACGCTCAATGAGCCATCCTTGTCTGGCCAAGTGGAGGTGGGAGCAGGGTGTTGGAGATGGCAAGACAGACCCAGAGCTGCAGAGGAAGTGGGGGTGAGGGCTTGGGTCGGCCTCCTCTCTGTCTCTGTCACATGCAAAAAAATTCTAAAAAGAGTAAAAAATAATTCTAGGGCTTTGGGTTCTGTTTTCGATGGTTGGTTATTGGTTGGATGTCCCCCTATTTTGTCCCTAAGAGCTGGCCTCCAGCAATCTGTCCCAGAAAAATGCGAGAGGGAAAGAGGAATCTTAAAAATAGCATAAGTGGGTATTGGGAGGCAGAAATGGCATCGAAAACAGACTTCTCTCGCGGGGGTCGGGGAAGGTAAAATCGATTTAGAAACTTGCAAGTCAGGACCCGTCTGCCTCCCTTACCCCCTTCCCACGCGGGGAAAAAAAAGGCAGAAGGAAATAAAAGAAGTCAACTGCAAACGGTCGAGGGAGGCGAGAGGGAGCTGGCTGGTGCATTCGCCACATGCAGAGAAAAATCAAAACAGCCTGAGCTACCCCCTTCTCTAGACCGCGGGTTAGTGTTCTGGATTCTGCCTCGCCCTCAGCCAACCCGGTAGCCCGAGAGCTTTGAAAAACATCGAGATCTCTGAGATTTAAAAAAATAAAAGAAACGAAAAAACCAGGCTGCGGTGGGAAGAACCTGCTATATAGGTTTAAATATTTATACAGAAGCCATACAGAATTGCACGGCGAGGGCTTCCGGAGCGTCGGAAGCCGTGTATAGCAGCCCGCCCGGCAGCCAGCCCGGGTTTATTGCTTCGAGAGGGAAGAGGCGGCTGCTGGGAGCCGAGTCCGGGCCCTGGGACAAGGGAGGAGGCGGGAGTTGCAGAGGAGGTCCCAGCTCCCCTCGGCGGTCGGTCCGGGAGGCGGCGGGTGTGCGGGCGCTTGGGGCCCAGGGCGGCGAAAGACACAAGGCGCCGCTCAATCGTCCACGTCGATCTCTTCGTCTTCCTCATCCTCCGAGCAGTCCTGGCTGCTGGTCCTCTGGTCCGTGAGCGGGGAGGCGGGCGAGAGCTGCAAGGGCCCGGCGCCCGGGGCCTGCGGGGCGCCTGGGGGGAGTGCAGGAGAACCCGGCCTCGACTTGGCCCTGCCACAGCCACCGCCACCGCCGCCTGCGGCCTCCGAGTTCTGCTCGAGTTCTGCCAGCGCCACGATGTCCATCTGCCCGCTGGGGCCCAGTTTCTTGGCGGACTCCACGTCGGCCTTCATCTCCTCCAGATCCCGCTTGAGCTTGGCACGACGATTCTGGAACCAGGTGATGACCTGTGCGTTGGTGAGGCCCAACTGCTGCGCGATTTGGTCGCGATCTGCTGGGGACAGGTACTTCTGGTATAGGAAGCGCTTTTCCAACTCGTAAATCTGGTGATTGGTGAAGGCTGTGCGGGACTTTCGCCGCTTCTTGGGGGTCTGCCGCTGCCCAAAGATGGTCATCCCATCACGACCTGGAAAGAAATGACAGTATAGGCTCCCATCGGGAGAGTGGAGAACCCACCCTAGCTCTCACCCTTTAACTCCCCACACCACACAGGCCCATCAGGGCCTGCAGTCTATCCTCATTTCCCTTCCCCTATTTGACTCAGCTTCTCACACCAGAGCAAGCCTGAATTGTCACAAACCTACTGTCTCTGGTCTCCTTGAAATCGCTAAGAAAATTTGTTTTGGTTTCTGCCTGCCACCTAAGACTTGGTTTGAAAGATTCAAAGTCTCTGCAAGCCAGAGGAACCCAGATAGGGACTCTGGGATCATAGTGTCAACACGGTGTTGGTTCCCCTACTGCTTCCCAACCGCCGCCTGATACTATCCTACCCAGAAAATCGCAGCAAAAGGTTTTCTTGATTCCCCACCCAGAATCGTGAAGGGCTAGGAGCGCCAGGCCACTGGGAACCAGAGGGAGCCGAGCAGAGCATGCAGACTGGGGAGAGAGCTTGGGTTCCCACCACAATACTCAGATCACCCGGACTCTGGCCTACCCAGAGGTCTACAGAAAATAGGGATTGGGTTCTGTCCCACCTATCACCACTCCCAGCGGCAGAGGCTCGGGCTAGAGGGCCCTGGCGACCGGCGCGGGAAGAAGTGAGCAGAGGCATAGGGCACAAAACAGAAGCGTGAGGCATTGGGCAAAGGGAAACCTAGCGGAGGCTCTTACCTTCCGCTGCCTGCAGGACGCTGACCTCGAGCCCCTTAAACGTCTTGCTTGCGAGCTCCTCCAGCGCGCACAGCGGCGAGGTCTGCGAGAGAAGCGCGCGGCCCGCCAGGGGCAAGCCGCCCGGCGCGTGCTTGTCCGCGGCGGCCAGCAGGTGCGCCGCCCCGCACAGCGAGTAACTTCTCCGCACAGACGGCTTATTGAGGATGTCCTCGATACTGAACGGCGTCAGCGGCTTGTTGGAGTTGGCGGGCGGTGGCAGGTGGTCTAGCGGGCTGCGCCGCCGCTCCTCCCCTGGCACCGCCTTGCCATCCTCCTTGGAAGTCATCTCGGCCTCGTTTGGGGGCCCCGCCGGGGCGGCTCCGGCCGCGGGGACCCAGCCCGCGGGCAGCTCGGGCGCCGGGCGGTGCGAGCAGGCGGCGGCAAGGAGGCCGCGCCAGGCAGGGCGCGGACCGGGCACCGGACTGATTAGCGCGGTGGCTGAGGCAGGCTTAGACGCGCGGGGCCCACGAAGTAGAGCGCTGACGCGGGCGCCGCCGCAGCCGCCGCTGCTGCCCGGGCTTCCAGCAATCCGGGGCCGGAGCCGGGGCGCGCAGCGCGGGGCTCCAGTTTCGCCAGCCCCGGTGCTATTTAAAGGTATCAGGTGGCTCCGCGGCGGCTCCTGGCCCCGGGTCCTGGCGGCGGCAGTTGGAAAAGCCGAAGCAAGGGCGCCGATCCCGGACTGCGAGGGGAGGCGGAAAGACGGGGCAATTGACTATTGCTAACAAGTTAGCCTTGATCGAGGAGTAATCAATTATCTGCAGCTTCACGGCACTTCTCTTTCTCTTTGCTTTCTCCCAGTCTTTCTCCTCTCTTCTTTCTCTCTGTTCTCTCTCCCTGTCCTCTCTCCCTCCCTCCCTCCCTCTCTTCTCTCCTCTCTGCTCCCCCCGTCTCTCTCCTTCTCTACCTCTCCCTCGCCCTCTCTTTCACTCTCTCTCTCTCTCTCTGTCCAATGCAGGCGGCTCTAAGTTGGGAAGCTCATTAATTAGCGGGCCGGGGGTAGGAGGAGCCGGCTGGAATTAGCCTGCCTAATGCGCCTGTCAGTCCGGGCGCTGCGCCGCGCTCGGCCCGAGCTGTTTGTAAATTACATTAGCGGCGCCTTTATTGCACCCGAACCTCGGGCGACTGAAAAGCCACCGCCCCCACCCCAAACTGAGAGCCGAGCTCCGGGCGCACCCGCCTCCCGCAGGCCTGGTTGCGGTGGCAGCGCCAGCCCGGAGGTCTCAGGCTCTCCAACCCGGGATTTGGAGTCCGAGAAGGGTGGCGGGAGCCCCAACAAGGGAGGGACGCGGCCGCGGCGCGGGTCAGGTAAGAACAGGAGTCCGGGTGGGCCCGGTTCCGCCCACTGTGGACTTTGCCATGCCGAAATCAAGAACCTAGAGCCCCATTCCCGATCCTTGTCCCTCACCCCCAGCTCTGGGCCATGTGCTTGGAGAAAGGGAACCTGAAGCCCTCCTGGACTGGCGCGCAGGAGGTCAGAGCCAGCTTCACAGCCCTGGGTGGGCAACGCGGGACAGGGGTGGGGATTCCAGCGGTTGGGGGAGGGGGCCAGTCAGAGGGCTCAGCCTTCCCCATGCCAGGAGGCGGAGGGAGGAGTTGTTGGTGTCTGTGAGCGCCTCTACCCCGGCCTGAGACCGAAGCGGCCACCCTACCTCCTCCGGCAATCTTGCACACTCTTAGCCTGGTCTGCGACTGGCTCTCCGGCCGGCTAGGGTACGACTCTTTTGATGATAGGCGTCTAATGGGCAAACGGGCCGAGTGCCGGAGCTACTGGGAAGGGCTTGGGGCTTCTCCGCTGCTCTGCCCGGGCCCGGGCCGGGGCCCCGTTGCGGGCCCCGCCCAGCCCAGCGCCGGGCTTGTGTGTACTGCCCGGCCGACTCCAGCTGTTCCGGATGCTGGGCGGGGGCCCGTAGGGGGCCGGGCCAGGGCTGGGGCTGCGCTCTCAGAAACTCGCAGGGAGGCTGGGGTTCCAGTTAGGCTGACCGCTGAGGAGCCCTGTGGCCTGGAATCTGTGCATATTAGATGGGCATTTTGTGTGCATCGTTACTTGAAGGTGTTTATGTTTTTGAATATGCGTATTTGTGTGTGGTTATCCATGTGTATATTTGTGTAAACCTATGTGAACCTTTGGGCATGTTAGTGGGTTTGAACCTCAGCTATGTGTTTCATTGCCCTGAGGCACAACAACGGGGCTGTGCCCTCAGGCCCTCTTCTCTCTTGCTACCCCATCTGGTTTGTGTCTGCCCCTAATTTTCCATTTCTGCCCTTGGAGAAAGGGGAGGAAGAGGGAGTTGGAGTCAAGGGAAGTTCTCCCTGCTCACACACAGAGGCACAGACTCTACCGGCTTTGTTTGTAGTGCGGGTAGTGTGGTTAGTGTGGTTGGACAGCTTAAGCTTGAACCAGAGGAGGGACCAGAGAGGCCAGTTTGAGGGCTCAAGGCCTAGGGCAGAGGTGGTTGGAATAAGAAGAATGGAACTTCTTTCCCCTCATACCTGCCCTGGAGAGGGAGTGGACTGAGCTGGGCTATGGAACAGAGAGCAGATTCTCTCTCTGCCTCCAGTGGAGAAGCCTCTGAACACCAGAGATTGGTTTATCTCACAGTTAGTTGTGTTTGGAGTCATGACTTGCAGCTCTCTGGAGTAATAGGGATGGATTAGGGAGACTGAATTCTCCTGTGGGGCCCTAGTGCTGACCTGGAGCATGCTTGAGAATGTTGGAAGGAGCTTGATGCTTCCTTTCCCACCTTTGCACTGACTGGATTTTGGAGGAAGGACAGGTGCTCAGAGGAAGAAATGGTGCAAAGAGGGATTTCAGTTCTCACAGAGCTGCAGATCCATTCCTGGGGCATGCCTGTTCTGAGGCATCCCTGCTACCCTGAAAGCCACAAGGAGATTCTGGGCCTAGAAATAGTAGAGTCAGAGTCTAGGAACTGGCGAAGAACAGAAGAGAGAAGGGGAAGATTTGGAAGGGGGAGGGCAAGATAGGTCTGCCCTCTCCTTTCACTTACTGCATTTAGAATCCCATCTCATCCCTTTCCTACCATAACCCCAACTTCCTGACCAGAACCTCAGTCAAACTCCATATCAGAGACCGCTCTCCAGATCTGGGACTGGGAACTTTGAGTTCTATCCTAAGGTGAGGGTATCCTCCCATACCTGCCCTCTTTCCTTTCCTGTTATTTTATTCTCTGCACCTGATACTGGCCAGAAGGACTGTGCCTTAGGGAAAAGCCCAGCAGCTGCTATTGCCCATCTCCCAGTCCCCAAAGACCAGTGGAGTTCAGGATTACTGAGAGACCTCTAGGAAGGGGTGGAATATGAACTGAGGAGCATGAGAGTCTTGTTCCCTGGGATCTTTAGTTTTTAGCCACACTATGTCAAAGTGGGGACTACATTACACCATCCTCTGATGTATCACCTCCACCCACCTTCACCAAATGTCTCCTTCCCTGGGCGGCCCAGCCCTGCTACCTTTGGTTCATCCACCTAATCAGTTGGCCTCTTGGCTAAACATGTTCAGGAGCTCTGCATATTTAGGGGTTCCACCTAGTTCTTTGTTGTTTCAATTTATTTTCCCAGGTCTCCTTATCCAGTCCACCTTGGAAAATCAACCTAACGGTCTCAGCAACTTTTTCCCCACCCTGTGGTTCTACCCTATCTCCACCCCTAAAGCCCTAGTGTGTGCCCAGCTAAGACTTTCTGGACTCCTAAGAGTCCAAATTCTCTGGCCTCCTTCTTGCAGAGCAGTAAAGTGTATTTTTGGTTTGTGATTGGACTCCCTCCTCTCTGCCACCAGACTGAGATCCTTGAGTTTGATGATTCCATCCATCCCAGACTGAAGGACAACTGTTATTGGTTGAATAAGTTTCCATCAAGCAAACAGGGTACAAATGGCTGGGGAATGACTTGGGCCAAGACTGTGAGACTCTAAAAGAGAACTACTAGTAGGGGAATGGAGGTTGGTTAGAAGGAACCCAACCATCACTTTCTAGACTCTAGTCTTTCTGCCCAACTTTCTGCTGAGGAAAAGAAGACACTTAGAGGTTCCCCCACCCCTAGCCAACTGGGACAATGTCTTTTTACCTGGAGCTGTAAGAAACTGATCCCCAGAGTCTGCTCCACAGAGGAAGTGCTCATTTTCAGAGCCAGTTATACACCATATCCTGACCTTTTTTTTTTTTAGATGGGATAGAGGCTTTTTTTTTTTTTTTTTTTTTGTACTGGGGATTTAGCCCAGAGGCATTTTACCACTGAGCTACATCCCAGCTCTTTTTATTTCTTATTTTTAGACAGGGTCTTCCTAAGTTGCTTAGAGCTTCACTTACTTGCTGAGGCTAGCCTCAACCCCCCAAGTCACTGGGATTACAGACATGAGCCACCATGCCCAGCAGCATATTCTGACTCTTGAAGTCTCCTTTACTTCCTATAAGGCCAGGGTCTAGCCTTATTTCATCTCTAGTGGAAGGGGAAAGGAACATTCTACCCAAAATCTGTCTGCCCCCTTCCCAGTTTAAGGAAGATTCTGGACCAAAAGAAAAGAAAGAGCATTCATTCACAAATGGCCACGATAAGGGGACCCAAACAAATGAATAATTCCTTAGCACAGGAGAGAAATTCACTTAAACCCCTGGGGCTCCATCTGATCAGTCTATATTGTTTGGGTGGCCCCATTCATTTCCAGGTTCTTTGTGTAAGTACCACCCTTAAGCCAGAATTCCTTCTGAAGGAAAGAGTCTGACTCCACTTAAAACAAGTCAACTTGAGCATTGCTCTGGGTCACATTTTCTCATGTAGACCTGCTACTCTTGACACTCCATTCAGAAAGTGCTTTCTGTGCTATAGAATTAGCACAGATTAGGTGGCCTCCTGTTATCCTGACTGAGCCAGGACTGCTCAGTAGTCCTTACATTCGGCCCAGGGTACTATCTGTAGCAACAACCGTAATAACTATGGCAATAAATATCATAAGCCCTTACCTTGCCTGAATCCAGGCTGTTTTATTTATTTCATTTATTACTACCTTTGAAGCAGCTACTGCTATTACCCCTATTTTACACATAAGCAGGAGCCTAGAGAAGTTCTCTGAGGCCCAGAGAAGTTCAGTAACCCATCCAATGTCACACAGCTTGTTTTGAAGTGATAAGGATTGGAAAACTTTTTTTTTTTTTTTTTAGACTCAAGTCTGTGCCCGTATTCCCTGAACTATGAGGTTCTTAATCAGAGATCCCTAAGGGCTTTTTGAATGGGCTTCAGGAGTTCTGCAGACCCCAGAAATTGTGTATAAAATTCACATGTGAGCCCTGATGGGCATATTTTTCTGGGGCTAATATTACATAACACACTAGAGTCTCAAAAGTGTTGGAAATCCAGAAAAGGTAAAGGCCAGAATCAGGCCAGTGGGGAATGGGAAGTTGTCTC